TAAAATCAATTATATCTATAACTATTATAAAAGGGATATAGGAGATGTAACCGCTTTTTAGTCTCCATTTTTTAATGGACCATTATATCTCAGATGTAAAAAAAAATTAAATTTTCTTTAAATAGATAATTTAGTTTAGTAAATATATAAATATAGTAAAAAAAATATTTTTAACAAATACTATTACTAGCTAACTAATGATTAGACACCTTGGTTGCCATAAATGGTGAGAGATCCAATCCAAGCTTGCATCTCGCATGATGTGAGTTTAACATCCCTTGTTAGTTGTTAGTAGACATATATCCTCAAACAGATCTCATTGTGTCAAAAGTAGAAACTAAAATCTTTGGTAGATTTTTATTGATTCTCAATTTTAATATGTTTTAAATTTTTATTCATAAAATAAACGAGTTTTGATTTTGGTTTATGTAAAAAATATTATTTATTTTTTATCCTTATAAAATTTGTAACATTATTTTTAATCCTTGTAAAATATTTATATATCTTGTAAAATAAATAAATTTTGATTTTTATCTTTTATAAAATTATTTTTTTTATTTTTATCTCTATAAAATCTAAAATATTACTTTCTTTACCACAAACGATAATTTTAAGTTATACACATAATATTTGTTTTAAGGACTTATGAAACTTTTTAAAAGTGTTACATACTAACATAATGGTACTAAAATTGTGAATTAACACATACAACTAATATTTGATGTAAGAAAAAAGATATACCACATCAAGGGAATGAGTAAATTAAAAAGAGAGTTATCGCTTTGAAAAATAAATATCTAATCTATAACATGGTAGTAATAAATAATTTTCATTCTCAATAAATAATTATATAATCATTTTCATTCATATAAATAATTTGAACAAAGAGAGTGTGGCGGTCAAAAATTATAATTTCGCGTCAATAACTAATATTTATAGAACAACCTTTTAAAAAATATTGCTCATCGTTATAGATTTAGATTATATAAAAAACATCAACTTCTACCTCAGCAAGGATCCGTGGCGCAATGGTAGCGCGTCTGACTCCAGATCAGAAGGTTGCGTGTTCGATTCACGTCGGGTTCAATTCCTGTACGGTTCCAACTTGATTTTAATTTTTCCTAAAGTAACCCTTGAATGCAGCATCGATCTACGGCCCAAATCCAATTTGTAATTAATGCATTCACAGATGTCAATTTTTGATTGAATGGACTAATTTTTCGGCATGACTAGCATTTCTCAATTAAATTTAATATCATTAGTGAACAATGTAAAAAAGTAGTATGTGAAATTGAGTTAAGGTTGATTATGTAACAAATATTTACTCATTAGTTATTATTAGGGATGACAAAAATACTCACACTTACGGATATTTGTGGGTAAAATCGCTACGGATAATAAATGAATAGGTTAATTGTGTACTCGCGGATAATGATGACGAATAATTTTTTACTCGTTTATAAACGGGGCGGGGGCGAGGGCGGGTATAATGATATTCATACTCGTGGGTACCCGTTTAGTAATATTTTTAAATATCCTAATTATCATTGTACCACATAATCCTAAAATTATACTCTCTCATTTTATTTCCTTTCCATAGTCGCACAACTCACACATTAGTCATCACAATAAGATTTATGTATTTTAAGTTATTTACTTTCGTTTGGAATTATGATATTGAATTATTGTAACTTCCTGATATGAGACTTTCACTTGTGAGATTGATGTATTTTAAGTTATTAATTATCTTGCATTTTTATTATTATTTTAACAAAATTAACATTAAATACATGTTCAAAATTAACATTAAATTTTTATTTTTAATATTTCAATGACATTAAATATAAACTTAAAATTATTTTTAATATATATTTTTTTAATTTATTAAAAAAATATAAATATTCATAAATATCCATGAGTATTCAAGAAATTCATGAATACCCACTTAATGGATACCCGCACGGATATGGGGTGAGTATAAGGTTAATTTTCATCCCGCGGGGTAGAGACAGGTTTATTATTACCCGCTCTCATGGGACCTCATTGCCATCCCTAATTATTATGTATGAAATTGACCATATTAATAAAAAAATATTTATTTTTTAATATGTTGATGATTTTTGATAAAAGTTAGTTATCTTTTTAATGATAGATATTTGATATAATCATGATTAAAAATGTATTTATTAATTAAATTATGTATTTATTTTTTAGTTATATAATAAAGTTTAATTTATTTTTATTGAGTCTTATAAAAATAAAATGATATAAACATGTTTATCAATAACAATTAATTAAATATAAACTTTTTTCATTCTTTTGGAACTTAAAAAAAAAACTATTTTTTCTTATTATTACATGATTTTTCTTCCTTCTTTTTCAACCAATTTTTTTTATAACTTCGACAAAAATTACATTGCACACATATATATATATATATATATATATATATTATCTCTAAGTTTATTAGAATTTAATATGAACTATTTACCTAAATTTGTTTTTAATCTTCAATATCACATTTATTAATAATATAAAAAAAAAAAGTTCTACAACAATTCTCTTCCTTCCAAAAACTTTTTTCCTTCAAAACTCTCTACAAATTTATTTATATAGATGTTATTATAAAAATAAAATAAACTAATATAAGAATTAATCAATTTACTAAAAAATATATAAAATAAATACTAATAACTATTACATTTTGTACACATAAAACTTGTCTTCAATAATTTCCTCCGATATTTATATATTATATCAAAATAAAATATACCAAAATTAAAGGACAGATTTAGATTAAAATATTTTAATAATTAGTAATGATTAATATATCAAAAAAATAGATAAATAAATTAATAATAAAAATAAATAAATAAACAAATATATCAAAAATAATTTGAGCACTAACCAGTTGATCGTAATAATCAATTAATATATCAATCAATAAATAAATAAATTGCTATTGGAAATAAATAAATTAATAAATATATCATAAATAAAAAAATATAAAAATTTGTGTATTCTATTTTTTCTTTAATAATACAATATAATTTTTAATTTATGGAAATATTTATTCAATTTTTAGTATGACAAAATTAAAAGAATGAAAAAGTATTAATATTTGTTATCAATAAAAATTTATAACTAAATGATTACTAATGATTATTTTATATATTTTTAAAATTATTACTAATTACTAATTATTTTCCCTTGATTCTGCATTTTGTCCACTCTATAATTTAATTCTTCATATACGTTATAGTTACTATTTATTTTATTTAATGTTTATATAATATAATTGATAATCGATAACTGATATTTACATAATTACATTTTTATAACTAAACTTAATCTAACAATCATTTCAATTTCTTCAGGTCTTCTATTTGGTCAAACTCAATTATATTATACATATCTGCATTATTTCATCTAATACTACATGTATATTATCATTTTTAACATATTCACATTCCTCCATTTTTCCTTCTTTTAATTTTATGATGATTGTCTCTATTGTCTTTTATTCATGTAAACGAAGGTAAATATTCTTTTATTTTCAAAGTATAATCTTAAAAATTATTTCAGTATTGAGATGTTTAATGAAAAGGTAATTCTAAGTTTTTTTTTGTGAATATTTTTTAAATTGTTATAATAAATATTTATTTTTTTTTAACTATACCTTCATATTAAAATATTTTACTTATAATCAAAAAATTATAATACGAAAAGATTCACGCCTTTATGAAAAAAATTTATTACTAAAATTATATATTTAAATATTTTATATGTAAATTATTATGAACTTATATAACAAAATACTACATGTACTATTTTTAATATGTAAGTAATAGTAAATTTATATCACAAATGAGTATATTTATTGTATTTAATATCATTTTCTTTTAGCATTTGACGAGCAAAATATGTGATCAAATTTGACAAGAGATTTTATTCCCAAAGAAGATTTCGATAAATTATAATTAATTGATGATGAAGAAAGAACTTTGAATGTGACGGAATAATAAGAACTATTTTTTGTTTGTTTGCGATAATGAGATAATTAATTGAAAGTTATTTAAATATGTATTTATTTATTTCATAATATAGTTGTTATTTTTATAAGTAGTCCAACTTTAATCTATTGGAATGGTTTTACCAAAAATTCAATTAGTTTGGTATAGGAAATGACAGGATTTTTTAACTGAAGTTATCATTTGCTATGATCATTTTATTTTTTAAATTAGTTATTGATATAATTAAAAGTTAACAACAAACTGAAAAGAAAATAACAAGTACATTCGAATAATTTTATCCTTAATTTGATATATAAAAAAAAAAATTCACTCTAAAATAGAAGAATTTTTTTTTTGAAAACCTGGTTTGAGATAAGAACGATTATGAAGGGTACACTTATATGTGAAGAAATTAAAGAGAAAATTATTTTAAATAAAATAAACAAATAAAAAAATTACTATATTACTTTAACTATAATTTTATACACACATATAATATAGACATGTTATAACTTATATGATAACTATTATATATATAAAAAAAACTATTATGTTATATCAATTATCAAAATAATTCATTGCACGAATACCTATCGTGCCTATCTAATAATTGCTAAAATTGTCTAGCAGACTTATATGTAATATCTCCTCCTAATACAACATGCATATAATTGTTTTGAAACATAAAATATAAAATATTAACTCAAAAGAAGATATTGTTTGATTATATAATTACTAAAAAGTAATATAGAAATTCAGGTTTTCTCATATATTGTGGTAGAATGCACAAGGTCCCTAGTACGGTCATCATAAATCTTATGGATCAAAACATTGTAGAAACATGATCAGGCTAATACATTATTAATCCTAAAATAAATTTTAAAATAATTTTTTAAAAATTAATAATATTTTTAGTAAAAAATATTTAAAAATAAATCTCGAAAAAATAAATATATTTGTATAATATTTTTTTTATAACCGTATTATTAGTATTAATTCGATAGATACCGGTGAGTCGGTGACTAAGAACATATCAAGTGAATTCAAAGACAATGATACGAACCTTTTTTATGAACTTTATGTCATTCATGTTTTCCTATTTTTTTAAAAGCCAATTTAATATAATTAGGTCTAACGAACAGTTATGCGTGAACCTTTTGCCACTGATGTATTACTATATTTTAAAATTTAATATTAATTTAACATGATTAAGCCCATTACATCTGATTGGATTTGATCAACAGCTGTGCATGAATCTTTGCAATTGATGTATTATCACTATTTTTTAATATTAAATAATAATTGAATAAAATTAAGTTTGCAATTTATGTATTATTACTATTTTTTAATATTAAATATTAATTTAATAAAATTAAGTCCGCTAAATTTGATTAGATTTTTTTATCAACGGATAACAAATAAATAATGGAGGCTAATTAGAATATAATATAAACTTACGTTGCACCACAAAGAAATATACAAATACTTTCCTCTAACACCGAATAATTTCTGAAAATAAAAATCTAACATTTGTCGATCACTATTGAAAAACAACATTTGAAAGCCTAATGTTTATGTCAGAAGGCAATATTTGAAAACAAAGCCTGTGCAATATAGCCATAATTTACCGTGCAACAAGTCCTTGATCGTGCCGATCCATCGTCCCTCTGAAAACTCAACTAGACCGAGTTTGATACTACAACAGATCTCCTAAAGTATTGTGCTCCATATGCTGCAGTAGATGCTACTGTAGTTGAAGCCACCAAATAGCTGCACCATAAAATGGTTCAAGTTCACATTTGGAAATTTGGAAAGACTTGCTAGAAGGGCAACAAAAATTTCTAGCTAGCTTACCTCAAATAAGTAATATATGATTTTGTTTCCGGGGTTCCAAATTCTGGTTGAAGAAGAGCTGCAGCAACTAATACTAATTGGAACACTGTATTCACCTGTTCAAATTTGTATTCCTCCTCAAAAAGTGTGATAGATAAAAGGAAACCACTGAGTGTTTCTCCATCGGTATAATCTACTTCACTAATCTATGACTAGATAGTGATACCGTTTTCATTTTCCATTTTAAAAGCATTTTAGTGAATGTTAGGAACCAGGGTAAAGGTTTTGTAAAGTCAGAAATTGAAGTGATTAATCCTTACCAAAAAAAATGGGGATTAAAAGGGAGGGGGGCGTTTGCTCACCTTTAATTGTGTATGTGTGCGATAGGGGGTTGGGAATGTAATTTGAGATCATTTCAAACTGAGGGTTTCGTGCTTTAGCTGTTGATAAACAACAATCTAATTCCTCTAATTACTTTTATGGACATGCTTATTACATCAATCAATCATCATGTCAAGAAACCAAACTCTTATATCATTGTTATCATTCCATTACCAAAAAAATTAAAAATCAAACAGCAACATTTGGTTTAATTGGAAGGAAAGGTTTGGACTCATTGCACATGTTAAGAAGTCGAGTATTCTTAAATGTTCTGTCTGAACCATAAATATTCATCCAGGAGAGCAACAGGACAAGCAGGTGATACAACTAGTATACATAAGCCAGTCTGCACTTAATGTCCAGCACCATGCACTGTATGATAGATAAACTCAAAAAACCATCAAGCTTACCTTGCTTAGAAAGAGTGGTTCAACCTTTTGGCGGCAGGTCCCATCAAGGTTAAAAAAATCAATCCAGCTTTTCCACTGAGAGAAACACACAACATCAAGGTTTCATCTCGATGACTCCACAATTTCTCAAGCAAAATCGATAAGTTGAAAACTACATTTTGGTACCTTCCAACCCAAGCTATTTGCTCTTACAAATACCGCACCACCAACAAGGAAGACGTCCCGTAACACAACAAGACAAACAAGCCCAGCTTCAAAATGAGAAACCAATATGAATAGTTTTACACAGCATAGATGGGGTACAAATTATATATGTTCTCAAAACATAAATGCAGAATAATGCAACAATATTTGAAGCAAGCAACACATCCTTTCTAGTTTCAGCCACTGAGATCACTAAGCCCGAGCAACATATAATTAAAAGAAAATTGCATTTCTCTAAATCTTGATAATATGAGAAATGCTTAAGGCAATTATTGTTACCAGAAACATACAAAAAAACAGAAATAGCAGAAGTACATACGATGCAGTAGATCTTTATGCACCATGGCAAGAGCAACGCAACCAATAAGAACCTGCATTGACGAGAGAAACAAAATAAGATGAAACAAAAACAGAAACGCAAGGAGAAAAGAGAGTGAAGATATTACCTTGTCAGCAAGGGGATCAAGGTAGGAACCCACCACGGAATCGATCTTCATCTTCCTAGCGACGTATCCATCCAGCTATTAAAAAGCACGTTTAGCAATTAGCATGTGATAGTGAATGTTGAATTAAAAAGCAATAAACATGTGTTTCTGAAACTGACCCAATCAGTGGCACCGGAGATTGCCAAGCCTACCATAGCTGAAGTGTAAAAGTCGTTGGAGATGATCCTGTGTAAAAATAAAAGAAGGAGATAATTAATTGAATGAAAAAAAGGAAAAAGGAGCAAGGAACGTACCATGCGATGAGAGGACCAGAGAGTAATCGGGAGAAGGATATGAAATTGGGGAGATTGACGAAGCTGTGGAAAATGGGAGAGTTGTTGGAATTGGAGGGAAGCGGATCAGGGAAGCGGAGAGGGGGAGTTACGGTGGTGGAGCGAAGCAAATTGAAGGGGTGGAGGACCTTGGGGAAAACGACGGCGTTTCGGTGCAAATAGAGAGGGGTGGCGGACTGAGACAGTTTCCATGGAGGCCAAGTCAGGAAGAGAGGGCCTGGGCCTGGGACTGGGACTGGGCCTGGACCTGGGCCGGGAGACAGGAGTCTGTGGTTGCTGGGTGGGGATCGGATGGGTGGTGATCGGAAGAGTCGGTTGTAATTGTTAAGGTGAGGCGCATACCACGGGAATGCGGTGGTTGAGGTGAGGAAGGTTCTGCTTCTGCCTTTGCTTTTCTCTCTCAGTATTGCTTTTAGGAACTTGCGAAATAGAACCATTATCGATCATTGAAACATTTCGGCAACTTTTTGGGTTTTAGAATTAGAAATTTATAATACACGATGTTTTCCTCCTTCAAACATGTCTTTCTTCGGCGTTGAATTTCATTCGCTTTCACGAGCTAGACGGCTACTTGTTTAAACGACTAAGGGAGCAACCAAAACGCACGGTCGTTTAGCATTTTATAAGAGGATAGGTGTTGTCAGTTGTCACGTGTAAGAAATATCTAAAACCTCTTCGGTTTGTGCCCTAGGCCAGAAGCCCATGGGCTTTTTAGGCCTAAGCCCTAAGGTAATCGTGCACTACACTTGTTGCAATCCTTGTCCTATGGTAAGTTACCAAGTGTCCTCGCACTTACTTGGCCATATCCAAGAATAACGCATGCTAAAAGACATACTAGGTTGTGTTTCTGGATGTAATTAGAATAGTTCAAAAATATTTTTACTCTCAAAACAACAATTTTTTCTTTATTCATTTTCTGCTTTGAAATTAATAAATGTGCACTGAATTTTTCAAAAACATTTTCCCAAACTTTTATCTTTGTTGTCTTGGTCAAATGCTGTAAAAGGTTTGTGGTTATATCATGTAAAAAAGATGAAAGAGAGCTTTGAAATTGTAGCTTATCAGATTTAGGTACGACAATCTAACCCGCTCTCGTGAGTACTTGTCCGAATCCACCCCGATTTGAACGGGAAAAACCCGTGTTTATCGGGTTCGGGTTCGGGTTTTCCCCGATTGTCAGGGCGGAGACGAGGTCATCCCCATACCCCGCCCCACTTAATAATATAATTAAAAAATTATTTTTATATATATATAAAGCAAAATTAGAAATATTTATATGTAAAAATTTATATTATTATTTTTTTTAAAATTGTTCATATTTATTTAAAAGAAAAAAAAGAAGAAAAAAAATAGGAGCAGAGCGAGGGTGGGGACGGGAAAATCCAAATTCCGCCGGGAACAGAGATGAAGACCTAAATTTTACCCCAGCGAGTATCGGGAAGAAGGGCAAGCACGGAGACGGTTTAAATTTTCGGTTGCCATGCCTATCTGAGATCCTATCTCGTTTCATTCAATCAGTCCCTGAAAGTTAATAAAATCCTCTTTATTATAAGTAACATGATATATTAAAATAATGATAAAAAAAATTTCGGATCAGGCCTAACATATTGCTACACCATCAGTAAATAATATACACAAGATTTCACCGAAGTTAAATTTAACACACGCAATTAAATCCTTAATTCACCTTTTTGTTTTACTTTCATCTGCACTTTCTGTTTCTATTTTATTTCACTCAAAAGAACCTGATGTCCAAGCCCGAAAATATTAATATTAATGTAGGCATAGTTACAAACATGTTGATAAGTACAAAGGAACTCTTGTGCTTGAACCTTTAGTTCAGAAATACAAAGGGGTCACAGATCTGAACAAGAATAATGACATTCATTTACTATTTGATCCTTAATCCTCTTGACCTCACCATATTTTCTTCCAATGAGCTGTATTGGGTCAAATCTGCTCATGCAAACACTGAATGCACATCTCAAAGCGACAAAAGGCAGGACAGTACCAATACCAAAGGCATTAGAACTTGAAAATGAACCCCATATGAAAAAAAAAAAAAAATGTTTTTCCCAATCTGACAACACAGTGAAAAATAACATGAACATGCTGCAAGTTTTTGACCACTCAAGATAGAAGCGCAGACTATAATTCACTTAGAGCTGAAAGTTGTTGATATCATCCTTGAGAATTCTGTAGCTGTAACCAGGAATTCTGTTCCACTTATTGCTTTCTACCACTTGAACGACAGAACACATTTTTGAAAGAAACACATTGGTACCTCTTCGCTTCCTCCTCTTCCCTGTCATTAGCAAGACCCAGAAACTAGGCTTGGAAGTGGAAAAACTTCTGCTAGAAACCATGTTCACAAACTGTGGCTGCGCCCTTTGTGAATTTCCTAACTCAAACTTTGAGAAGAATTCAATTTCCTTCCTCACAAGAGATCCAATTGTGCCCCTTGTGCCTATAGCGACTGGAGGAGGAGCAGCCATGCTATATGGTTTTGAATTTGATGGCAGTGGAAAGTGACATTGCTTTTATAATGCATTGAATTTACTGTTAAAATAAATTTATGAAGGAGGCTTCTAGATGAAGATAAGTGTGGTGTGCTCATCATCCTCAATTTAATTTTAAATTTGGTGCTTCTCCTTTTGAAGTTTAGTAGATGGTAGGTAGATAATGACATGCTTTATGAAAAGCATGAACTTCCATGATTGAAACTTTATAAAGTGAACAAGAACATCAAATTATCCCGACGCTTGTTTTCCCGGCATCACACTTTATCCTTTTGACTTCTAATACCTTGCTTCTTATGCACACTAGACAGTGTATAACATTATTGATCATAGTAAGTATGAAATGGACTTTCTGTAATATGTACCCTTGAATTCTTCCGCAATTGCTATATTGACAAAATTATAATTTCTACATACTCCAACTCGATGATTAACTTTCTAGTTTTTATATGATCTGTTAGTCAAATTTTCTCAGGACTCTCCACCTTTTATGCCTTGGCTAAAGGAAAGAAAGAGGTTGATCTTTCATTGTCTTGGTTGTGTGCTTTTTGGGTATGAGGTCCTAGCAACTTGCTGTCTTGCGGATAGTTTCTCTGTTCGAAGATTCTTTTTTTCACGTTAAATTATAGTCGGATTTTCATCGCTTTTATAATAGTAACAATAAATGATTATTCTGTGAAAAAATTATTATGTTAAAAGAATACAATTTTTAATAATTATAATTAATAAATCTTATAACCAATTATGGGAGGTTTTATTTGATAATTTTATCTAGAAGTGAAAAAAAAACATTCTTTTGCTAAAAAATACTTGCTAGTCAATTTCTTCGTCCAATGATTTTTTATTTTTATTTTTTATTTTTTATCTATCAAGAGATTTTATAACAATTCATATATTTCAACCACCTTAATTAAAATCTCCTTTTTCTTTATCCAGCGATTGAAATAACATAATCAGCTGGAAATGCAATAGATATCGATATTCACATTACAGCAAGAAAATTCAACAGCGTGTGTTAAAATAAAAAGTGACAACACAGTAAATCAAAATTAAAGACATCATAATGAAAATTATGTCACTATCTGTGTCTATTACTTATTATATTCCAAAATTTCAAACATTATTTGTGCATGGACTCTTGTAGTCCATAGATATAACTTTTGCGTTGGATAGCCGTTTGTATATATTCATTTTTTTTTCTTCGTACATCTCCTTGATTTCAGCATTAGATTTTGGAAGGAAGAACAGTCAAGATGAGAACAATTTACAAAATTTAGTTTCTTACAAATTATTTACTAATTACTACTAATGGAGGACTAGCAACAAGAAGGAATACAAAGTTATCTGTTGGTAAAGAGTGGATAGGGGATTAAGAAATTTAATCTACAAAATAAAACGAAAATATTTTGAGACGAAAATATGCTTCAGTGAAATGCGAAAACAAGGGGAAAATCTCTGTAATCAAAACATTTAGAAGATCACGGATAGGAAAAATGAAACACAAATCGATAAAATTCTTAAATTTTTAATCAGATTAAATTAAAAATTTCCCTAACTTATCTGATTTAAACCAATCCAATCCAATCAAATTCAGGTTAAATTTAATTCGATAATCAAGTTGATATATATATATATATATATATATATATATCATGGAACGAGGCAAAGATGCGTTGGATTTAAAAGTGTACAATCCAAATATCCAATACATAATTCGACAATACTCGTTTTTTTTTTTTTTTAAGACGGACAATCATCAGATTGCTCTCGTTAAAATCTAATATAATCCAAATATTCAAATTAACTCATATTTTTGGGTTTGTAGATTGAATTTGTTAGATATTTAGGTTAGACTGAATTTGTGATCACCCTTATTAAGAGCAAATATAAAATGATGCTGTCGATAATTGCCATTGAATATTAAGTTTTATCATTAGGAAAGAGATAAACTTAAAGTAAATGTATCTCTAATGCAAATAAGAATATATTTAATTCATCAAAAAAAAATATTTATTCTTAATTTACAGATTAAAATCTTAATGTATTTTTTTTTTGTAACAGTTTATAACTTTTTTTTTTGTAACAGATGTATTTTAATTAATAGTAGTAAACAAAATATTATTTACTTTTTTAAAATTCATTCATTTTTAAATATTCTTCTGCTTGTTTATCGTTGCACCCAATTGTCATTGTTGAAATTCATTATAACTTGTAATATTACCTCAGCATTAATTGAAAGTACAAAGAAAGCTATAGACATTCTTATCAAATAAAAAAAGACAGCTATTTTTTTTTGGTTAAAAAAACAAAAAACGTAGATGAGTGACAAATGGCAATCTATGATACAAATAATTCGAAGCCCTAATCCTCCAATGTTATTACAGTTACATAGGAACAACTGATCAAGGAACAGAATAAAATGGCAAGGGATATTGTAAGCAACTGAAAATGCACATCTTTATAAGCCTCAAAATTGGTTATCGACTATAATTTTATAAGAGCATGCTCTCTCACATAGACTCCGCTTCTTATCCTTTGTCCCCCTCTCTCATCTTTTATTTTCGTTTTTTTTTTCATATTAAGATTAAATGAACAAAATTATTGTACGCCAGAGAGATGACACACATACCTCATTCTTCGATATGAGGCAAGAGCATGTTGCAAAGCAACATTAATGCTAGCACCTTCCCTGAATAATGAATCATACAACTGACAAACAAATTGTGACAGCTCCTCTTCATCATCGTCCCAAAAAGAAATATTGTGGTCCCCAATTCTCTCGGCGTCACTATCTTCCCAGTCACTTAGTGGACTGGGTGGTATGTTCTCATCATCTGCTTCGTCCTCTCCAATTTCAAACTTTCCATTTTCCATCACATTCAACTCGTTGTTACCATCAAAAGTGGTCAACTGAGACTCTGGAGGTTCATTTGAAGGACAAACAATAGCTTTGGCACCCGAGTCCAGAAAGGCCTTAATAACAGCAGGAGTAGGTCCATGTGTCCCTGTGCATATTATGATCCTGTCTCTCCAAGCTCCAACCTATGTAATTCAAGATACCAACACAAACAGAACAGAAAGGAATCAGAACATTTCCACGAATATGACAAAGGATTAGACAACAAATTTCTCTCCCCTATACCTCCTACACAAGGGGAAATATTGTTGTACTGGGGAGCAAAGATGTCATACAACATAAAATCCTCTTTCTTTTTAATTTTTTTTATTTAAAAAAAACCCCTTTTCCCCTCCAACCAAACACTATAGATATCTTACATTGAAAGCATCAACAAGGAAAGCATGGCTCTGATTTATATTAAGAACCTATACCAAATGACTGTACTCGGATTTGACCACTTTAAAGTGTACTCTAGAGACAGACCTCAAAAGGGAAAAGTGCAGATTATAAATTTACAACCTTAACAACTTCATAGTGTACGTGTATACATGTGCATTTATTTTATTACAATATCGACAAATAATTTTTTAATCAAGAGTTATAACTCTGCACTTTACCTCTAAAAAAATCTGACACTTTAGAGAAGTCAAATCTAGAATTGTGCTTGTCACTCTTATTCTAACCAAAGGACATTATTATCTTGATATAAAAAGTTTATCCCTTCTTTCCTAGAGAAGTATGCCGAAAGAAAAATATTTGACTAATAAAACAGACACTCTAAATGTCAAAACAATGGCTGTAGATGATCTTTAAATTTTCCAGTCCCCCCACAGTTCATATGCTTCAAAAATCAGCCAGAGCTAGTGTCAGTAAATGTCTCATCCAAATAGTGGGATTGCCCAAAATTCTTTAAAGAAAAAAAAAACAAATGGATTATAGCTCTGTCCCCAATATATTATTTGCCTATATAAGGCTTCCCTATATGCACACAACCAGATAATTGAATCCCTAAAGTTAGCAACAGAGACAAATTAAGCCATATAAAAAATGGACCAAGAGCAATACAAGGTGATGATCATACTATTACTTAGTATACAACCTCCAACTATTGTCAGAGTATAAAGTGACTAGTGTATAATTAAGTGATCAACACCCAATCATGATTCTATTTCTTAAATCTCCAGATTAGATGATGATAGTGAACATTTGGTAACAGCAGATAAGAAAGTTCCTTAGTTTGAGTGAAGCTCCACAAAATTACGTCCATAGGGACAATAGTACAATCAAAGTGGGAGCAAAGCACATACCATCCATCGTATATCCTCTGGGGATAAGTGCATAGAAGGGACAGTCCTACGAAACATAAATGAAGCAACTTCTTGATCATCTTCGATAACCTACATAAAAGATATTGAAACTCATGTTTCTAATAGATATATTAGTTTTATTTAAAAAATTATAAAGACGTGCAAGGAGAAGACATACTAGGGTTTGACGGCCTAGATAGCGGTGGACAATGCCTCCAATTTGGAAATACGGTTTAAAGGCAACTAAATCAGAAATAGTAGAAATATTGCTCAAGAGAGATGCACCCTTTCTGCGATGGCTCCTCATTGTTGACAACAAACTAAATTTAACATTTTGTAGAAATTTCTCTGCAACCTCTCCAGGTTCAGCCACCACAAATACATCATTCTGCCAACTAAATAAAGAACAACAGCATCACGCTTCCATCCACATGGAGAAAAATAACTAGTGACAATGAATAGGTATTCATGAAACATAATGGAAAATACCTCACAATTAAGCCATCTGAGTAATTTTGAAGAGCCAAATGTATAACACCAACTTGCGGTGAATTCTGCAATTTCTCATGCAATGATTTTACAGGCAAAGAAAACTGTCTAAGTCCTCGAGGAGACATTGGAGGCGATGCAATTGTTTTCCCCAATTGACCATCTAAACTTAAAGGTGGGACTAGATCAATCCGACCAATTCTCTGACCAAGATCAGGACTATACATGAGGGGACTTGAAGGGAAGCTTCCTGTAAACAGAGGTGATGCAAATGGAGTTGGGAACGTTGTTGATGGCACTGTCTTTACAACACCAGACAAACCCTGCATGACAGATAAACGTATGCCACTACGAGCACAAAATGACTCAAGCGCCCGGGCATGGTTGATCACTTTTCCGGAATCTGGATTATGTAAAGCTTCAACAAGTAGTACATTACGCCTCCACCCTAAGGTAGGGCCGTTGGCACCTGATAAAACAGAACAAAAGAATCTTTGAGGGATCAATGAAAGTGAAAATTGACAGTGTAAACAACATATAATCTACAATACCCTCAAGTGATTCCTTGGACTTGGGTA